AATGCAAATCTTGTATGGCAAATACGTAAGCATACACGTATGTGTAGGCGGAGCCAGTAGAAAAACAGGCTTTATAAGCGAGTGGAGGGTAAGATGAATTGTGTTCGCTAGCACACCTGAGCAAATTTCTTGTTGTTATCTTACAGCAATCGGTTAAATTAAAGCAGTAAAAATGAGTAACCACCAATGTTTAGATGATGGAATGAGGTGGCGAATTGCAGGGAGGCTAGAGGCAGGCCAATCGCAAGTCCAGATATGCTGAGACTTTAATTTAACGACCAGCATCGTGTGTAACCTATGGAAACAGTTCCAGGATACTGGATCCATCGAGAGAAAGCCCGGGCAAAGTCATCCAAGAGCCACGGCGGCCAGAGAAGATCACTATTTGTCCATTTTATTAGGGTGTAACAGAGGGGCTACAGCTTCTTGGAGCTCTCGGAACCTGTATGCAGCCACAGGAACCCGTGTAACAAGGGTGACTGTTTCCAAAGGACTGAATGAGAGAGGGTTGTTTGCCAGAAGATTGGCTGTTTGGATCCTGCTCACGTTTACGGACAGGAGAGCATGGTGCAGGCAGCATAGTGATTCGAGTATGGAGCAATGGACGACCGTTCTGTTCACCGACGATTCCTGTTTTAGCCTAAACACTGATTCTCGCCGCACCTTCATATTGAGAGATCCAGGGACCCGCTACCTACCCTTCAATGTCCGCAAAATTAACAATTAAGGTGATGGCAGTGTAATGGTCTGGACAAGCATCATGCTGGATGGCCGCACATCTCTCCACATCTTTGACAGAGGCTCTGTGACTGGTGTGAGGTATAGGGATGAGCTCTTGGAGCCCTATGTTCGCCTGGCCCCGAGTTCATCTTACAGGATGATAAAACGAGGCCACGTATAGCTCTTCTGGTCAAGGAATTTCTCAAGAGGGAGGATATTCGCCGGATGGATTGGCCAGCCAGGTCTCCAGACCTCAATCCTATAAAGCATGTCTGGGATGCTCTGGCGAGGGCAACTCGCAACCCCCTCCGTCCAGGAACTGAAAACAGCGTTGCTGAATGAGTGGGACCAGTTGCCACAAGCACCGATAAACTGCCTTATTTCCAGTATGACATCACGCTGTGAGAGAGGATCATACACTCTATTAACCCATTTCTTTTGTGTCTTCTGCAACCGTTGTTTCAGACCTTCAGCCTCCCATGAGTGTTACACACGAACATGTGTGTCTGTTATAACTGTTGAATATTTATTTGGTTTGTATTATATCAACCTATGTTCACATCAAATTTTATTAAATTCTGTCCAGTAGTTCTGGAGATCGTAGATCAATTCTCTTAATTTATTACACCAGTGTAGTAACTGCAAAGAAAAAAGCATTGTTTAGAAATTTCATGGTCCAAAACGAAATACTTTAAACCTGTGGTTATCTGTGCAAATAAAAGTTATAGAAAAAGTAGAAAATCAAAATATTTCTTAGCCTTGATTGATGAAACAGTTGTGTTGCAACTATCAAACAAATCTCTTCCAACATTTTTTTATGTTTCGTTTCTCTTACTTCTACGATTGCAGAAAGTATTTCACAGGTAATTTTGGAAACTTTGAAAGATTTTGTTATGGACATCAAGTAACTTAGAAGACAAGGTTGTGATGGCTTTCATGTTATCAGCAGACAATTTAAAGGGACGCAAGCACCATACTGCTGGAGATAAAAAAATTGCATTTAAAGAAACTGTCTCACAAGATGAGTAAAGAGCCATGACTCTATAATGATTTTCATAGAACTTCTGGATGGTGTATGTGAAGGTTTGGATGAAAATAGTCATTGGACTGGCTGTGATGCGTTGATTGGTGGCACTGGATTAATCAACTTCATCTGCATTAGTAAATTTGTGGTTCCCTTTCTCTAAAGGAAAGATGTATTTGAGGAATGCAACAGGGGATATAGACTCTGCCACCACTTAAGTTATGAAAAACGCTCGTTTTAGCAATAATTCTGCAAAATCTCAACTGGGAGAGATGAAATGATGCTACAGAGGCACAATATAATTTTTAAAGGATGAGGAAATCATAGCAAAAAAAATGAATTGGATGCGTACAGTATGGAACTAACAGAAAAAGGTTTGTAGTGACAGAATGCCATGTGTACAAAAAACTATGTATGTAGTAAGGGAGGAAAATTTCATCACAGTAACAGTTTCCTGTAAGTGAACCTCTGTTGAAAATATGGAGCTCCGTCCATCATTTTGCCTCCCCGTGGAAGCACACTGGGCTAGTTGCACGATTTCTGTACAGTGTGGCTTAATTTTCATTGGTTAAACTAAGAGAGCCCTAAAATTTAGTGTTAAAGAACATCATATCAAGATAAACAAGACAAGACTTCCGTGAAGAAACACAGAAGTCTTGTGTTGCCCAGCATTGTTGGTGCGAAAATCACACTTTCCATTTATCTGCAGCCAAAATTATTCAAAAAACATCTTCCATTGGTGAATTAGATTTTTCTAGAGGCATTTCACATTCAAAAAAAAAACTTTCTGATTTAATTAATGACCCTAATTCCAATCCATCTTTACCTTCAGCCTTTAAGGAAATTATGTTTTAGTTTTCTTGTTTCATCAATAGATGGCACCAGTAGTTTAACTCTTGTCTTGCACTTTGGCAGCTGAGGCTGATGGTTTGATAAAACCATCGAAGCTAGTCTTGTGAAAATTTTCAAATATAATGCTGAGTTTTGTGGTTTCACTTCTAAATTAATAATGCCCCTACCTCCCTTCATGTCAACTGATGCCGAGAATCATTTGTCAGACTGAAACAATTCTTTGGTAAAGAGGACGGGATTTCATTTGTGAGCTATCCAGTTTTTGTATTCTCTGCACCACTGTAAACAGTGCTGCCGATGGGCTGTTGTCAGTGCCATGCAGCATTCAGGATGGCGAGCTAATAGGCCTCCTTTATGAAGTTGTCTGGCCAGTAAACCAAGATGTGTATCGTATGGTTGCCTTATGTCGCAGGTAACAGCAGGGCTAGAATCACAGTGTAATGGATAAGTTGAAAAGTTGATGACAAATCTGATAGAATTACCATTTCCAGTTTATTAAGAAAATTTAGCAAGTATGTGAGTATGATGTAAAGTATTTCCACCTTATCATTAAAGATTATCTGAATTTTCTGTTGGAATATACAAAATAAGCAATTTGGGTTTAACATATCATCATAACCACCTCGGTAAAAATCGCCAAATATTCAGAATATGGTAAACATTGCCAACCATGCACATAATAATTCTTAAATTTTTAACAAGTAACATTGTCATTTTCATATGTGTTCTTTCTCCCCCTTCTCAGGTTGTTTATATATTATATATCATGATATATTTTGCCTTAAATTCAATTTTTAAATATGTGTTTGTGAAATATAGCTACAGAGGAAAAAACTGCAGTAAACTTTTCCATGATTATGTATTTTGGTGCAAAATTGTTAAAGGTTGTTTTGAATCTCTTCTTTAACCCTCTGAGCATTAAGGGTTTAGGCCTGAAATTTCAAAGTTCCTCAAAATGTCATGAATATGTGATATTTTCTTTATTTTAATTAAAAAATGTCTCTCTCATTTTGTACCTTAATTCCTTTTATTCCAATATACATCCAAACCGATATCAGATACATTAAAAACTACCAGAAATTTTCATGTATAATGAATATAGAAGGCAGCCTTCTATGCGGAATTTTCCGGCCATAATGCTGACAGGGTTAAAGCGATGACTGCAAAATTTTCACCAAAATAAGAGAAACAAAACCCATAAGTAAGTAGATTTATTCATCAAAGTATGGTATGAATAGTTAATTCAAACATTAAATCATTAAATGTCTATGCAATATATTTTTCCTTTTCAGTTATATTATAAGTCGTCATATTCTTTCTTCTGTGAAAAATTGCCAAGATGGTTGCACTAATACTTAAATACCCAACTTAGAAAACATTCCAGCACTTTTGTTCGTATTTTAACAAATTACGATCCATGCATATTATTAAATTTAAAGTTGAGCTCTGCATTTAAAGGTAGATAATTCCATGTATATATATTTTTTGCGGTGGTTCTCTGGTTTTTAAATTGTTCTGTTTTGCAAAAGGTAATGATAAATTAGTTTGATGGTGCAGGAGAATGAATTCTTTAGAAGTAAAAGGAGTTTGATGAGTCTTGTAGGAGCAGCTATTGAACATTGTCATATTGTATATCATGTCTCTTACTGTTGTTTTGTAAAAACTTTGTGATAGCATTTCCATTCTGGATTAGGTATTTTGTAAAGACAAGGCATGGTTTCATCAAAGTAAGGTCAAAACTGTTGAAGATGTGCTTCTGAAAACCTACATCTTATGATTTTAGATCATGAATTATCTACCTGAAGCTCCTCTACGTTATTGTCTGGTGTGCTGTGTCAAGGCAATGAATTTTTTTACTCTTGTTATTTGAAAAAAACTATAATGCTAAGACGTACTGAGACATTATATGGCAGGTCATCGTATTATGGCATGAGAATAAACATTACTCTTGAATATAGCAAAATGGTTCTGAGAATCATAAGCAGATTGTATTATGAGGATGATGGCAGAGGATTTTGGTTATGGAATGATATGTAATAGCCAGCAGAATCTCCAGTTCTTACTTGCCTAGACTATCTCTTTTGTGGATGTTTAAAACTAATTTATGTTCATAAACAATACATACACCTTGGAAGAGTCAGATATGGATACCATGACTGCTTTAAACATATAACTTTTTGATAAAATTTGAAAACATTAAAATGTAATGATAATTCAAGGAATTGAATAGTATTTAAAATTTGTCATTGAATGTATAGTAATGTATACCTTAATGTATTTTTATAAAGAATATATAGACTATTTTAAACATTTTATTGCATTTGTGTTATATTCAAATGAAGTACACTAATGATTTTTTTTTCTTTTCTCTCTCTCTTTTTTTTTTTTTTTTCCCTTTTTAAAGGCATGTGGAGATGCAAAATCCAAGCCAACATTCCTTTCTGATAAAAGTTTAGAATCTGCAATTAAACATGTGGTTCGAAGATTCCCTAGTGTCGATACGCGTGGGAATAGTGTAAGCAGCTTATATTTTATGTATTTTTATAATTATTTCTGGATGTTTATTATCTTATGAAATGCTTTTGGTGTTACTTTTTGAAAATATTTGTATTGATACATTATCACTAAACAAGTAAGTAAGATACAGTTTTCTCAGAAATGTGCAAACTAGAAAGTATATTTTCATCCTTATGTAAGATTTTTTGTTTTATATTTTGTTATAGTTAAGACCCATTTCCATTAGTGCGTTACCAATGCATAGCGTATTGGGAGAAATGCATTACACAGACGAACAACTGCAGCAGGGAGTCACTAAAAAATTTCGTAGTTTTGATATTTCTTATTGTAATAATTTTACAGTTAACAGATATTTTTACACATTGTATCTGAAAATAGATAAAGATAAGACGATACAGACAAAGAAAAAAAGAAAAACGTTTCGACTCATTCTTTTTATAATAGAAGCAGTCATTTTACTTGCTTTGCACGTGACACTGTCATTTCGTCTATTACTCATTTAAAATTTTCGCATTGTTCTATGTCTTAAATTTAGAAATTAAAGTAAATGACCTAAAACTACAATAGTATTATGCAGTACAAGTGAAAAACTTGAAGTCACATGCATATGTCAGATTTGCACATTGCTTATGGGGTCCCACAAAATTTTAGAAAATATTATAGGGTCCTGGCGGCCATGAAAAAATCTCAGTGATAAAAAGGGGTCGTGACTGAAAAAAGTTTAAGAAACCCTGGTTTACAATTGTGTTGAATTTACGCTTATGGAAGTTCGGTGGCCAGTTGCATTCATTGCCACCAGATGTCTCTGATTTAACTTACGGGATTTGTACTCTTAAAATACTTAAATTCGATGTTATTGGAAATTTTTAGTTCTGCTTATGAACTGTGAAAGTAACAATGTTTAGATAAGTAAGGTTATAATGCATATTATGATCATCTCTAATTGCATAGAAGCTGGAATAATTTTTAAGAATTTCTTTGCATTTCTAGAAGCTTTAAATATTAATGAAATAATATATAATTAAAACTAAACAGTACTGTTACTGCAAAACAAATAAAAAAGTTAAACACATTTAAAAATAGCTGGTACCTTAAAAATACAGAGCAAATGTAAAGAAAGGTTCACAGAATTTACACAAAATTTGCTATGCTTGTATCTTGCTGACTGCTATGTGAGATTGTATATTTTTAAAATATGCACAAATTTGGGGAGAAAACAGATAGTATATAAAATTTTAGCATACATTTCTTCAGTATCATAGCTGAATAATTTATTAGACATATTTTTAATGCACTATTCGCAGTTATATTTTATGCATAATCCATAAAATATTATTTTTAATTTCTAAATTTTAAATTCATAGCTTTTTATAGAAGTTGCAAATATAAGCTTTTTTCTCTTTTTATATGTATACATACCTAAGGTAAATAAAATGGAAATATTTAATTAATTCATTCCTGTGCTTCAGCTGGACAGGACTGAATTTTAAAGTAATTATTATAAGTTTTAAAAAATGTTTTATTAAAATTGTTCAGGGCATTAATACTATCTCATGTCGATTGGTATTGAAAGTGTAACATCCCAAAATCTCATCACATGTATACATTTGCATAAAAGTGAAACAGGAAAAAAAATATTTGTATATACAGAGAATTATACTTTAAATTCATATTATATTATAACTTTCAAAATAAATTTAAATGAATAAGAGCATAAGTAAAACATTATATAGATCAAATTGGAACATGGAGCTAAGAAAGTTGCAAACAGGATGGAAAAAGAGTATGAGATTCAAACTCACAACCCCCAAAATCAAATTTCGCTACCCTCAACTTTATCACTATGCTATAACCACACTGGCGTAATTAGCAATTTTGGCTTAAATACATGATCAAGTAAATGAATTCTTAAAACTAAATTTTTTGGCCCTTTTTCAGTCTTTTTTGGTCTTTTTATCGACTAAAAAATTCACCAGAGTTTGTTCTTAAACTTCTGGGACATTTCTTACAAAAAACATTATTTTTAAAGTGGTGTTCGAATTTAAGTTAAACGGACTGCTAAAAATATATCCATGTGCTTAAATGCATGTTAGTCAAAAAAGTATATTTATAAGTAGAGAAATACAAAGGAATATTTAAAAGGCTATCAATATTAATTTATAATTTAACGTTTTTAGTTTTCACCTGTTTCAAAAGAAAAAAATAACAAATCTTCTAATGCTATATCTAATTTGCTATATCTGATTTGCTATAGCAGTTTGGTATAGTCAGATGTTCATTTTCATTAAAGGTAAATGTGTATGCAGAACTAAGAAATAATTATCAGGACACATTTTGCTATTTCATGGACTTTGAATTATATTTTTTGCACCTGATTTTCTTGACAGTAATTACTGCTTTCTGTGAACTAAGTTGCAGTTACCTTTTTTTAAACTAAATTCAGCTGATTGCTGTCTTTTTCAGTACACAAATTTCTTGCTATAATGTTAATTCAGAAATAAGTATTTTTTTAGCAAAACATTCTTTCCCTCAGCCAGCATTCATCGCTCCTTCTGCCGCCGTTAATTTTTGGTGTCAGCACGTGATTGCTCCTTTTTTACCACGTGACCTCACCGCATCCGCAGACCATACGGATAGAAGTTAAACTTCATCCGTCCGTCATCCGTCACCGCAGATCGACCAGATTGTAGATGTCACTCAAAGTGAATTCGCTTGCTGATTGGAGAAACGCATACGCAGTAGTGGAAATGGGCCTTTTCTGTTATGCTTTTCCCATTTGTAATGTCAGTTTAAGCAAAGACACACATTAGTATTTTTTTAACTTAGCAAGTGAATATTTTTTCGTTTTTCTTATACTTCTCTACCTTTCTACTTATACCTTCTCTATAGTTATACCTCTCTACTTATACCTTCTCTATAGTTATACCTCTCTACTGCAACAAGGAATACAGTTGATTCATGTTTGTCATAACAGTATCAAGATGCTGTTACTCTTTAAACTGGGAATTTTCAAAGAAAAAACTTTCATGGCATAAAAAATTTATTAATTGAAATTTCTTCGTATTGTATATTCATTTAGTCTACATAAAATCTTACTTTTTTTTAAATTTTAAATATATTTAGTATTAACAGTAATTTTAGACTTACCTGTAAAATTACCATTTTTTCATTAAACTCTAAGTGATAACCATATGGATCAGTATTGAAAGGTTGTAGAATCCTATGGTACTTTCTTATTATCTGCACTGTCACGGAAAAGTGCTGTATTTCCTCTTGTATTTTTCTCCTTTTCTACTAGTTTTATGATCTGAATATTGAGAAAAATTATGCAAATAATTTAATTTCCAAAAATGCTGTTGCAGAAACATAAGAAATGAAAAGTCATGAATGAATTATGGGTAACTATCACAATATTATTTCTTTAAAAGAAGCCTACATTTCAATAAGAATATATAACAATATTAACATTTTAATATTTGATAAGATACCTTCATTTCTACTTCCCCACCCATTCTTATTGCTGTCTCTGCTATTCCTTAAGCCATCCATAAATGATTAGAGAAAGTGATTGTGCAGCTGGCTCAGTGAAATCGATTAAATGTCAGTTTGTGTTTACTTCACTGGGATTGGTCAATTCTTTATAAGACTGGCATAAAGTTCAACCATTTAAAGAGAAAAGTTCTGCATGACCTTTGCAAGTCATTTACGGGGTTTGTTTTTGTTTGCAAGTTGAAAACAGTCTCTGCATAGACAAACCTGCTTTGAAATTTAGGAAAGCTCATTGTCTGAATGTTTGAGGATGTAAGTCTTTATATGTGTTATGCAATCAAAAGGTAAAGCACTTCATGGACCAGTCGCAGCTGTATGTATCCCCCATATCAGGCAGAAGTGTGTCATCAGTCAAAAGTCTCCAGAGAGGCTAGAAATATGCTGATCATGCTATCAGCCAGGGGTCTCGGTCCAGGATGGCAGACTTTAGAAATTCTGTCATAAACCACCACTGAACACTGGCCATCCAAAGTAGTCATTTCCGGTTGCCTGAGACCACTGTGGCAGGAACTATTATTGGCTGGAGATCTGACTTGCCATCATAAATGTAACTTGTCAGTACAATGCCCATTACCCCCAAATGAGGGAATTACACTGAAAACTATATGAGCACTTTTGTGTCCCATCGAGTTACTGACACCTCAAAAAGACAGATTCACACCAAAAGCTGTATCCAAAATCCCTAGATGCTCACCCCAAGCAGCTGAAACTGCCAGGTTTAATATTTTACTCCCTCGGTTCCAAGGCTCCTTAAGTATAGATCAGTGTTGGCCAAACTTCATGTCAGTGAGAGCCGCACGTTTGAATTCAGGAATGTTCGAGAGCTGCATCTAGAATTTCTAAAAGCCACAAGTTCATATTTCATAATTATAGAAGTAGTGGAGGAGGTTTTAAATAGAAAGTAACTTTGTAAAAAGAGTATGAACTAATTAATTACTTCCCTTTGTACACTGAATAGTTTTAGTTTAAGATATTTCATACATATATTTTATATGCATGAACTGCAAAAATTGCCTGTGAGAGCCGTATCAGGCTCACGAGCCACACTTTGGCCACCCATGGTTTAGATCCTAATCAGCACACAAGTCGGCCTCCCGGGGGGGGGGTAGAGGAAGAAAAAAATAGATAGTTATATGGCAACCCACAGTGTTACCAAAAAGTATTTATGTTGAAACCTAAGTATGCACATAGCATGTTATTTTAGCCTGCACAATGTCAAAGTTTACAGATATTGCAAATGAGTAGTTCTCTGTTTTGTTTAAAGTGAAAACAGTTTGTTGTGTTTGTAGAGAGAATAATGACAAAAAAGCATTTCACGAAAAAAGTATTTTAGGTACTTATGTATTATCTTGTTGACCACGAAAGCTAGCTACCGTCAAACTTGAATGTTGGCAGAGATCCCACCAAAGTTGCACCATTTGTTTCTGCAAATTTCTTCTATTTGCATCT